CAAACTTTAAATACTGACTCTCTCTTTGCCCATAAACTTAGTATTTTTTTTCTCCAAAAACAAACAACTGTCCCACAAAGCAATACAGCTGTAATATGAGCGTTTCAGGATTTCTTTTTGGGACTTTTAGTGTAATTTTGTGCCAAATTCTTCAAAAGAAAACAAGTCTGCCTTAAAGATTTTGCTCAAAATTGTTTGTCAATCATCCTTTAACAGCCTAAAATGAAACACAAAACTGAGAGGTTTACAAATGACATGTAATGTTTGAGGAAAATKCTTCTAGACAATAAAAACTTTCAATTTTTGCAGATTTTTTGTCAGCTACAGCTGATAAGTCCTAATAAAAACCCTGAATAAACAGCAAAATGACAATGAAGAAAGATTAATTTGCCCGTTTTGTTTAGTTYGCTTTTCATCTCTTATTTTAAAATTAATTTGTCTTTATAACAAACCTTTCCTTCTTTCTTGTAAGTAAGTTTCTGTCTTCATGTGTTTTATGTGTTGAAAATGTACAAAATTAACTGAAAGAACAAAAAAAAGTTGAACGTATTGAGGAAGAGAAAAGCTTGGAAAAGAGGGAATGACTGATAAGTTTTGGCTTTAACACAAAACAAGGGAATTTGGAGAACAGCCAGGAGGATGGAAAGAGGACGAGAGACATGAAGGACGAAATGGAGAACGAGAGGCAGAGCGAGGGAGAGATGGAGAGAAGAAGACGAGAGGAAAGAGACAGATAAATAATTAAATGATCCTGTTTGGCTGGAGAGGAGAGGAGAATGARGGGAGCGAGGAGGAAGAGGAGGATGAAGATGGGCAACAGAAGGCTCACCATGGCATTTAGGACACACAGGAAGTGGAGCAGCCTCACACAAATGAACACAAATACACAACTGATAATTATCACAAATAAACACGCTTACATCCACAGATCTAAATATCAAATACACAACCAGACTTTAATAGATTGTAAATTTACACACTTCAACCAGAACAAAACAACACATATACTGAGCATTTGTTACAGATTTAATTTGACCTTGTTTAACCTTAAACTAAAGTAGCACCAAGTAAAAATGATGAAAACAAGACTGAAATATATACATTTCATTTCTTTGTTTTATCTTTTGTGCTTTATCAACCTTTTATAGGCTTTGAGTCATTATAGCAAATTATTTTCTGTCACTGATTAATGTTTTTATCATGATCTTAAAGCAAACCTCATTTCTAACAGTTTATAGTGTTGGGTCAATGTGTCACAGGACACAAGGGTGACTGCAGGAATGTAAAAAAAAATAAAAACAGCAGGTTAGGTAAAACTGATTTAAACCTGCAAGAATGTTGCCAACTTTCAACTGAGGCAACAACTGTGTTGCAGAGAAAACTGAAATAACGATAAAAAATAATCAAAACTGCAACAAACTGTTAGATAATCAGTTGAAGTGTGGCATTATGATAGATTTAAATGCAAATGACAGTTTATATTATGAATCTTCTTCTTTTTGTGTTTTGAATGTAGATTCAGAGCTTAGATCGCCATMTACTGGCCCGGAGCTGAATTTCTGTTTTCTGGTTTGAAAAGAGATTTTATTTTTATGTTTTAACGACAAGAGAAATATCCAAAATGATTGAATCAATTCCCCGACCCTCTGAGCGACACACATTCTCACATTTCCCTGCTGCATCCTCAAACTCAATTACACTTCGTATCCAAGGACACACACACACACACACACACACACACACACACACACACACACACACAC